CACCCCCACGTGAGTGGCAGCCCTCTTCTTTTAGCAGATCCCTGATTTTAATTTTGCTTTTCGAGCAGCAGGCTTTTCATGTGCAAGGAGAGGTGGTTTCCCTCATTTACCTATCAAGCAGGTCATGCCTTCGCTTATTCATTCTCTCCCCCCCCCCCATTGCAGTAACCTTTGAAATTATCCGGTGCTCTCATTGGAACAGCATGTGAGGCGCATCGCAATCAGGAGAGCACACCTGCTGGCAGCACTTGGTGCCTCAGAGATCCCTTCAGTCGGACCAATAAATCCGCACAGAACCACTGGCATCATCGCCGGGCGTCGTAGGTGGGAATGCGGATGGGGCGGGGAGGGGAAACCTCTCGCCACCTACAAGTAATGTAGCTTGTGCAAAAACAAAGGGCATAATAAACACGACGGAAGGCAAACGGAAGCCTGGTCAGATGCAACCTTGAGGGCAGGTCTTTTCATTCCCCTGCAGAGGAAGAAACTTCTGCTGCCATTCCCCTTTCTCCTTGTTTACAAAGGATGAACCTCTTGAACCCTGAACCCTTGTACTGCCTCCCCTGTTCCATTCCTTAGCCAGCACCAGGTCATCATCCCAACTCTCAAACCCGTTAATGTCATCCTTCTGCCCTCATGTCCAGGTACAGTCTCGCCTTTTACTTTTGTTCTCTTAAGATGACTTGTCAGCCTCAGTGACCCCAAAGTCTTTTGTTCTCCTGAACCCCACACCCTCCTCTCCCTTGCTGTTCTTCTCACACTCTCACACTCTCACACACAAACACAAATAGTTCAATGGCGCTGGGCCCTGGCCTGCCTTCAAATCTCTTTTCAAAGCCCAACTTTTCCATGAAAACATTGACAAATCCACAACCCTGAATTCTCTACCAGAGAACGGGCATGTCATTTGAGGAAGGAGGGTGACCGTTTGGGGTTTTTATTTCCAGACAAAGAAAACTGGTTTCAAGGCGAGTCTGTTCATCCTGGCTCTGACAAGTTTGAGAAACACTGTATGTATTAATGCAGAGCTTACATTAACTCTGGCAGATATTTAGGTGATTTCATGTATCGCTATCCACAGGTAGGGGCATTAGAGAATGTTCTTCCAGTCACAGTTCTGCCAGTATGGGCCAGCGATTGCTCTTTGATATAGAATGGGAGCATCCAGGCTAGAAACCCCACTCCTCTCTCCGCGGTGACCCTGGGACAGCTGAAATCTTCCAACTTAACCTACTCTCCAAGTTTACCGAGATGGCAAAAGCAGGAAGAGGAAGGACCATGTCCATTATTAAACCTGATACGCAAGGATGATACTGTGTAGAAGGAAAGCTAAGGGAGATGTAGTTTGAAGGTGGTGGCTCACCAATAAACCTCACCGATCAAACATTAACTAGAAATCAAATAGACAGGCTAAACTATAGGAAAGAAGAACCTGCTAGTTTTTTGAAAGTATAAATTCAACAAGCATGTAGTGTTGCATCAGATAAACCTCTGATTCACAGCAGAGGTAAAAACATACATATATTGTACAGGAAAACTGCACATCTTGCCTTTTAAAATTAATTTGTTTGTCCAGGATGTTGTGAGCGACACTGAATGACAACCCATGGAGTTTAGTTAAATGCTGCTGAAGCCAGAAGTATTCTTGTCGTGGAAGGTTGCAGGATCTCCAGAAGCCATAATTAAACAGCAGTACAGAATATCCTGATGTGCTGCTGGCATACCACAGAGGCTGAAACAGATGAAAATGGGTGGCAGCCAGGAGCAAAGTGCACATCCTGTCACTCACAAATGCATCAGTCTCAGAATGCTGCCCAACATTTTGTAGAGTTAGTTAGCACATCTACCTACTGGTGGCTTGGGTTGGTATGACTTTGTTGTGCTATTCTTACAAAGAAGCATTTCATGACAAGGGCGTTACAGGTGGCGTGGTGGATACGGAATACTTAACACTGGCAGGGGGTGCCCTGAAAAAAACCCCAAGGAAGCAGAACCAGCTGCAGTTCCTTCTCCCTGTCGACGTTTACATTGCCATCTTGTGTGGCCCAGGGATCCTTGTGTTATCTTGGAGGAGTGTTATATTGTGGAGTCATGCTAGAGCGACACCCATATAAACCTCAAGTGGTGGTGGTGTGAAGACTTTTTGGTCTGCAACCCTCCGAATGCCATTGCTGGGGATTCTAAAGTCATATTCTGAAAAGGGAATTTTTCTGCCCTATCCATGAAGAGGTGGTGCCCAGCCTGACAAAGTGGAATTCCCTTCATAAAAGCTTGCAATTTTTAATTTTTTTAAAAAAAGTGGTCCACAAAAGATATCACCCTATTCTTACACTTGCATAATCTTAAGGACCACACAGCCTTTTCCTAATTCTTTTCCCAGGTTGCATTCCTAAAATAAAAGCCAAACATTGTATGAGATTACCAATTTGAGTGTGTGGGTGATACAGTAACACCAATCTCCTCGGAGCTGCTGCTCTGCTCTTTTTAAATGCTGGCCACAGTTTGTCTTCAGAAACCAGATTACTGCCACAGGTACACTAAATGTACCAATGCTCCTGCAACCTTCTGGATCAGAGTTTGGAAGCTGCTCTCTGCTTGGTGGATTTCATTCCCTTGTTTTTGCCATGCCTGCAGAAACTTCCTTTAAAAAAACAACACCAACTGCTATATGAGCACATAAAAGCATAAAACGGGAAGACATGTTGCACCAGTCTTTATATAGACTTCGCTGGTCTCACATTTCTCAATGCCCAGCTAGAAATTTTAAAATGTTGTGATTGATTGACAGAAGCCCTACATGTCATCTTAACTTGAGAACAAGACAGAATGAGAGTGCATAAAATTACAGTAGGCTTTCAAGTTCTAACAGAAGGTCCTCTAAGCAAGGAAACAGCTTGAAGAAAAAAGGGCTTCTGCCTTATGGATAGAAATCCAGGCAATAAAGCATTATAGCCAAAGATCAGCTTCATAACTGTGAGTCTGATATATACAAATAAATAAAATTTTGCGACTGCTTAAAACAAGTATTCCCAATACTTGAGAATTTAATACTAATTTTACAAAGACATATGAACTATTGGTGCAGCAATAATTAAATAAAAAAGTTGGAGACATCTAAATACCAAAACAGAAGGGCTAGGACTGTACAGACAGTTTTGCCAATGAAAAGCCATAAAAAATGTTTCGGTACAAACGTTTTATCATAAAATATTACTAGTAAATGACAAAAAACAAGGAGCCATTAATTTTCACAGGAAACAAAATACCTGTTGGGATTGTTAGTACCAAACTGAGGAACGGCTGAGGCTGTCCACCCTTGAGTTCACCAGAGCAACAGTAAAACGTTACTTCTAAAGAAACAGCCAGAAAGTGTGGCCAGAAAGGAACAACAGCCCACCTATGGCGAAATGCCTCCAAATGGAAACCATTCTGGAGGGAAATGGGAGGTCATATCTCAGAAATAACTAATCAAAATAATGAGTGATGTGGGAATTTCTATATGTTACCCACTTTTAGGGGCCCTAATGCAACCGATATCCTTTCTGGCTGCACCACACGTAGGGAGAGACAGCAGCACGATGGAGGTCATTAGAGGGACCGACAATAGAGAACTGGTCTAAAATAATGTGGCTGAGAGTGCTGGCCGAAAAACTAACACACGTTCTTAGGGTGTCAAGTACAGCCAAGTCTTTGCAACATGGAACCTTTTCATCAAATATACTTCAGAATCTGCAGAAGATTTCAAAACCGAAAAGGACATTGTCCTTAAGCTTTGGCACGATATGTTATAAACTCAAGAACTGCACAAGTTCTCCACAGACAACAAGCTCTATTCCAGGTATATGCTGTACACACAGAACTGTTTGTACTGCTTTTACGCAATCGTTGGAATTTAATCCTGAAAGGCAAATAAGAACAAACAAAAAAAGAACGGGTACGGGGAAACAAAGTATAAACCAATGTATTTGTTCCACAGGTTGCTTTGTTCTGACTACGGCTGAGAATGCAAACCAGCCCTTCTATTCTGAAGTGCCTGCTTTTTCTTCTTCTTTTTTTTGGTGGGTGTCACACAAGCAGATGATGCACAGTAGAGCTCTTGGGAGCCCAGGAGGAGTTCAAGAGGCTTGTGTGGAGACATATTCCCTTGGCCTGAAGGAGGGGCCATGGGGAAGGCAGCAGGGACAGTCTCATGCACACACCTCAGACAGGTACTGCTGGAGCCCACATGAAGGAACCCGGCAGATCTGCTTAGAACCAGCTGCTGAGATTTTATGGAACATCCCTGGCGGGTGCATTGCCTTCGGAAGAAGCAGGAAAAGGAGCTTATGATATTTCCCATTTCACTGCAGCATTCTTTCCTCTGCCGCCCACTATCCGCCAATTATACAGATGCAATGAGTTTAGCTGGTGTCATTTTATCACTAAGTCCCGAATGTGTTTTGAACAAAAGCCATCAAGACAAGTTAGCTCAAATACACTGCTATTTGTAAGGAGAAAAAACCCATCTGAATAATTGCAATTGTCTGTATATACCATAAGCTGGCAATAACTGTAGGGATGAAGTTGGCTATAGATCAAGACAAAATCCCCAGGGTGATAGCCAGGATTTGTCGAAACCGACCAGCGTATAAACTCTTATACTGCAGTGATTTTACCATATGTTCATAATTAAAAAGCTTTTTATTGCACTTGCTAGAGGAACATTTACAGATGAGCTGGAGTATATACAACTTCTGAAATGAGATATTTTTCCACCATAGGAGAGGACGGGCTTTAGCCTAACTTGAGACACTGCGTGTTGAAGCTGTCGCCCTCTTTGACAGCCACCGCCTCAAGCAGTGCCTGCTTCTTTTGCATGCTGCGCGAGGACTCGAGTTCATACATAGTTGTCAAATTGAAAAGCACGCTCTCGTGGAGGTAGTGTTTAGGGTCCTGCTGAACCATTCCTTCCAACTGCCGGAGGGAATCCTTCAGTTTCCCCAGATAAAGCAGACAAACAGCAGCATTGTTGTTAGCCTAGAGAAAAGTTTACATCGAGTTTATTCAGAAAGACACAATTTCAAGATAAAATGGAATCACACTGTAATGATACTTCACCCTCAACGCCTTGGCGTTAAGGAGAGATCTGGATGTGCTCTCTCTCTCTCTCTCTCCTTCAGAGCAAGCTGAAAATCTGGCCATTTACAAATCAGGGAAAAGATGGAGGGCAAGAACTTTATTATGCAAAGCCAGGGCTGAAGAACACGTGGCCCTCCACAGGTCATTGGGCTATGATGCTCATCATCAGCCCTAGGCAATAAACCACATGGTGAGGTGTGATGAGAATGGCAGTCTGACAATACCAGAGGGCCAGACATTTTCCATCTCTGACCAAAGCCACACTACTGTGCATCCCTCATTCCCTTCAGGGCATGGTCAAGAGACTGGAACTACACTGAGGTACTGAGATGTGCCACCCACATGTCAGAGTCTTCCCAGCTGTATTTTTATTTACTCAACCCTGTGAGATGAGGCTACCTCTTGTTGCAACAGTAATTACAGTCTGGGCACCAAGATCTTAGCAGATAGCACATTTTGGCAGCCTAGTATCCGCAGTTCTAACCATTTCTTACCACAGCATTTGAGGGGTGGATCTTCAAAATCTCTGTGAAGAATCTGTGCGCCTCCGAAAAGTTATTCTGACCAAGATGGAGAAATGCTCTGGAATAGGGAAAAAAAGCATACTTTTAATGACTACTTGAGAAAAAGCTAAGTAATAAATGTATCACAAAAGGGAACTGGCACCCTTTGTTTATTCAAATATGCAAATATCTGTTGATCGTCTCAAAGCATTTTGAATCAACACACAGCTATTGTTCTACAGAACATAGATTGCAGACTGAACAATACACAGTAAAGTTATGTTCCGAGGATAAAAGTGGTTACTGACCTGCTCACACTTTATGCTAAGGTAAATGTAGCTTTGCCACAGGTTCCATAACCAATAGGGAGCTGGAACTGATTCTAGCCTCTTTTCTAGAATACTTGAATGCAGTTATAAATTCACTTGCTTCACTCACAATTGTATGTATCAATGCAAAACAGGTGTATACATTTTTCAAAAAGAATTTATATGTAACTGGGCCTTTCTGAAGGGGCTTCTTCAGCCTGATCTTAAACATATTATGGTTGGATTTGGACTTAGCCCTTCATTTCCGGAAGAGACTGGAATCCAGTGAAGAACCGCTGCTGGAAGAATAGAAGAGGTTGGCGACCTTCACTGGCTTGCCCTCCCTTCAAGCCAAAGCACTGTCACTCCCCACCCCTTCCTTCTCTGACCAACCGGCATTCTCCCGAGTGCAGCCATTTTAGCTGTGAGGACCACTGAGTATGACTTGGATCAGAGCATGAGCCTGCAAAACTGGCACATGAGGTACATTTTCACCAGAAAATGACTTGAAGACACAAGTCTGTAACAGACAAGAAACATTTCTAAAGTAAGCCTTTTAGCAGAGGAAAGACAACTCCTTCATTCCAGAAGAGCATGGCTACACCTTGTCAGACAGATCTCATGGGCTGGTGGATGCCAATCAGTCTTTCTTCTGACAGCTGTAGCTACATGAAAGAGAAGTGAAGAGAAAGGGATGCCCTCTAGGGGCCCCCTCATGTTCACCATGCATTTTTGGCACAATCATCTTCAAGATTAATTTAACTTTACATTCCGCACCTGTTCATTAAAACCATTATTTGGTTCTGCAGTCCCTCCGATTTCTGAGCCACTCTCTCAACGTCTTGAAAATACTTTTCAGCCATTTTAATGTCTCCAATCTGGATAGTACAAAGATTGGAAGGAACAATTACTGCATTTAATAAGGACTGCAAGAGAACTATCAAAAGGCAGACTTTCACAGAAAAATATTTGTTGATACTGGAGGAAGAGAAGACAAAACAACACATATGGGATATTCTATTAGCATTAAGGGGGAAGAACAGTAAGAAACATAGCTGGCTAAATTAGTGGTTTGGGCCAAAAGCCCACTTATTAAAAACAACAGCAACAACAATATAGCCCTCACGATTGTGTCAGAAGGGAATAACACCACAAAGATAATACTACCTTCAGATTCTAAACCAAAAAACCTAACTTGGCTTATCTTATGCCAATGGTTCCCCACCTCAGGTCCCCCAAATGTTCTTGGACTAAAATTCCCAGAAGGCTTCACCACTAGCTACATTGGCCAGAATTTCTGGGAGTTGTAGCTCAAGAACATCTGGGGACCCAAGATTGGGAACCAATGACCTACGCGGATGGTTCCTTGCCAATTATATCAGCTAGTTATTTTAATGAATATTTTATTTTTTTTCCAGAAACTTAATGTGGAATTAGAACCTGGATTTTTATTAAAGGACTAAAAGTGGAAACTAAGGATTCTAAAGGCACCCCGATATGAAATGCAAGGATCCATTCAGACATACTGACTTACACAAGTAGTACAATCCCATCCCTTAGTAACAGCTGTGCTCCCTTGTTAGTACTTTTGAAATAAGAGACACACCTCACTCCAAATCTATTGAATAGGCAACATTTCATAATAATACATATCCGCTGGAATCTTTATAAAGAACCAATCCTTTCCTCATCTTCATGTACAAGTAACATTTGACAAAATCCTGACCCTAAGTTATGCAAATGGTGTAACTTTTAGGGATGGACTGCTGTACACTACGAAATCTCCACAGCAATTATCTGCTGTGCACTGTGTTGCACAACCTGTCATGCAACAGATTCATAATAATACATATCCGCTGGAATCTTTATAAAGAACCAATCCTTTCCTCATCTTCATGTACAAGTAACATTTGACAAAATCCTGACCCTAAGTTATGCAAATGGTGTAACTTTTAGGGATGGACTGCTGTACACTACGAAATCTCCACAGCAATTATCTGCTGTGCACTGTGTTGCACAACCTGTCATGCAACAGATAAGGCCTATCAACCAATCCTTTCCTCATCTTCAAGTACGAGTAACATTTGACAAAATCCTGACCCTTAGTTATGCAAATGGTGTAACTTTTAGAGGTGGACTGCTGTACACTAAGAAATCTCCATAGCAATTATCTGCTGTGCGCTGTGTTGCACAACCTGTCATGCAACAGATAAGGCCTATGGAAATGTCTTGACTTATGACAATTTGCTGCTAAGTTATGCCTTTTGCATAACAGCATAACAGAATTTTAGCCATTGCTCTGAAAGTAACTCTAGGATGGTTTGAAGAGCTGCATGGCCAGCCACTTCTGCTAGAAACAGGAAGAATTAGCTACTGCTCGGTCTGCGACTCCAAAAAAGGCTGCACACTGGGCTCCAAAAGGAAAAGTGCAGAGTCCCAGTGACTTCCCCAATCAAACCGCCCACACATCTCCAAAATCAGGTTATGACTGGAGAATAGTCTATATAGTAGGTGATGGACAAAATGCAGCCCATGGGATGCATGTAGCCCCCGGGTACATTTTTGTGGTTGTTCCATTTACCAACAGATTCAGGTAGCTGGCTCAAGTTTGACTCAGCCTTCCATCCTTCTGAGGTTGGTAAAATGAGTACCCAGTTCACTGGGTAGCAAAGTGTTTCTTGCATAATTACATTGTAAATTGCCCAAATCAAAACAACAACAAACTCCGGCTCCACAGCCATGTGATAATCTCTCTGACCTATCCAGCCAGCATACCTTCCCAGATATTTAAGGCTTTACATTTTGGGAATATTAAATAAAAAAAGAAATATGTAAATTAGTCTCTTTGGTCATGTCTCTCTTCTGAACTTTTCCCTTCTGGGAGATCAGCCCCCAGGTTATCAACATATCTGAAAAATGGACCACAGTTGTTCTGAAGTTGCCCACTCTTCACCTGAGGTTAATTATTTTAATTGAATATAATATAATTTGAATTATTTTTCAAATGTTTTTAAAAAAATCTTTGTTGATTAGCATCTCTGAAGGGTGAAAGAAGTGAGCTTTGTGTGCAGTTGAAAATAGTAAGATATACTGGTCAGAAATATGGTAAAAAAATAAGACCAGTTTTGCAGTAGGAGTCATTGTGTGCGGGGCAGAAGGGAAATGACAGAGGGAGCTGTTGCTTCAGGGCGCCCTCCTCCCCCACCATCACCACCCTCAGGCAGGCAGCTCTGATTTTTTATGGTTGCGTCAAGACAAGAGTTGAGAGTTGGGAGGTGGCTGCTTGGAAGAGGAAGAGATTAGGCTAAGGTTCACCCATACGTCTTGGGGGACCTCACCTACATCCTCTGGCATGCCACGTGCCCTGCAGTCCCAGAAGGCTTTTCAGTCACAAAGCAGGCTACATGCACCTGGCATTCAGGGTGAGAGCTCATGGGCTACAGAGTCCGAGGGAAGTGGACACGTCCCTCTGGACCTCCGATGCCTCATCCCGAGATCTCTTTGCTCCGTGGCTCTGGGAGGATGAAAGGAAGCAACTGCACAGCTGGGCTTCTGTACCGACACACGTCTGCCTGTTTGTTTGTGTGTTTTCCAGGACAGGACTTGTTTCCTCCTGAACTTGTCCTTAAGGACAACCAGCTCTGACACACCAGCTTTATCTAAATCGTGAGCAAGTGGCTTTTTGGTGTGTGTTCCATGCAACAGATGGGATGCTCGGCAGTAGAATTTCAGTGCAGCATTTAATTTAATTAAATGAAGAAGGCTGCTCTCTACTCCCCCGCCCACCCACTTCAGGGCATCACCGGCTGGATGCGGCAAATCTTCCTTTGGACAGAGCGGCAGGGAGAAGGAACAAAAGCCCGAATCTGTGACGGCAGCAGCATTTCCAGCTGCTCTCCTTCAAGGTTATGTAAGCAGGCCAAGAGTGCTTTGTCTTCCTTCCTCCTCCTCTCGAAGGAAAAGGCCCCATTCTGACAGCCAAGCCACTAATACAAGAATATCCAATAATCCCTCTTCCCTCAAGGCCTCCTGTAACAGCTCACACTGAGGAAGACAAGATTCCCTTCAGAGCCTGTTAACATAACTCTTGGAATCGGACGGACAGATTGCACCTCTGAGACACGAGGCGAGGGCCTTGCCTTCTCCCCTTTGTCTTTGCCACAAAACCAGCCTCTGACGGACCTCAGAGCAAAAGAGCACTGCCAGGAAGGGAACCTTGCGCTTGAAAAAGCCCCAAGAGGCTTCTGAAAGCGGTGTGAGGGGGGGCTCTGGGGGGTAGCGGGCCTGCCCCTGCCACACCCCCACCCACCCCCCACCCTGGCAAAGTGCCGCTTTCAGAAGTCTCCTGGGGCTTTTTCAGCAGTGAAAATGCACCTCTGAAAGCCCCGCTTTGTCCCGGGGGGGCTCTGGGGTGGCGGGCCTGCCCCTGCCACACCCCCACCCTGGCAAAGCGCAGGTTTCAGAGGCTTCCCCCGTACATTTCCACTGTCTGTTTACCTGCTGGGCAAGCCTGAGGAAGCTTCTAAGACCAGCACCGATCAGCTGTGAGGCGGGGAGGGGCTGGAGCGGAGAAGATGGCAAAATGGCTGCCCACTGTGTTTTCGCCCGGATTCCTCGCTTACTGGGCAGCGAAAATGGTAGCCGTATGGAGGATTTTCGCATAAAGGTGAGGTTTTTGCCCATAGGAATGCATTAAACGGGTTTTAATGCATTCCTATGGGCTTTTTTATTTCACATAGCGACGAATCCGTATAGCGACGATTTTGGCTGCATGGATTATCGTCACTATGCGGGGCACCACTGTACTCAGATTGAATCGAACAGGACATATTTCCAGATAAATATATAATGTATTAAAGAAATTTGAAAATAATGACATAGTTTATATCTTTAGTACTGCAGAAACAGGAACAATGATATTCAAATTTAGTAGTTAAATGTGAATATTTTTAAAAAATCAGAGGTCGTCCTCAGGTTTCCTCATGTACCTCGGAGGCAGACTTAGTATTCCTAAACGTTACTCTTGTTTGTTTTAAGTCACGATTTGGATAATGACTTTACTATTGGTTAAATAATACAATTAGTACATTCAACTTCTACTAAGCAAAAGCAGACAGTTTAAAAAAATACACAAATAGTTGTTCTGCTGTGGTCAAGAGAGGCTGTCACTTGGATTTATTCAAAATCAAGTAGGTACCTGCAGGAAAATCCTTCCAATTCCACTCAACAGCTGAGGCTCTTGCTCTGGGTAATATTTGATGACGGTGTGATATGTCTCCACAGCAAGCATATAGTCCTAAGGGGTAAAAAACACACAAACGGTGACGCCAGGTCAGCGTTTCTTCTCCACTCTATGTGCCCTATATAAAGAAAACAAAGCTGGACGCATGTACAATAAACAGATATAAGTATAAACTATTTAAATTGGAAAGGATGTCCTCTTTGAAAGTACAGCACTAAGATTTTTCCGTGACCAGAAAACTGCATGCTTCTCGTTCATTCTTGCAGAAGAAGGGGGGGGGGCAGGGAACCTATATAGCAAGCTACAGGATTAAGACATCTGAGATGCAAGGGACCAGCTTGAGTTACAAAGCATCCCCCAAGTCAAACCAGATTCAGGGAGACTGGAAAATCTCTGCTCCACAAGCAACAGCTTTGTATCTGCCAGGACCGTGATCACACACCATATGTGTGTACACACAGAGCCTTCCTCCCCACCCTTCTGCACAGCAAAGGAAGTTTTATCGGCTGCCAAGTGGACTGCTGGCCGCATTCAGAGTGTTCTAAAAATTCCTGTTGCTGGGAAAATGGCCACTCCTCGTGGACCGTTTGATGAGGGAACAGTCACTCTGGCTAGAGGAAGGGACTCTGAAAGGAGCTCTGGGTGGAGATTTAGTGAATGAGCAGGGATTCCTCCCTCCTCGTTTCGATTCCTGCTTAATGTTTTTCAAGATAATGTTTTTTTAAAAAATGTGTTAGATGGATTTGTTTCTTATTTAAAGCTTCCTGATAGATATGTCTGGACCTCAATTTAAATATGGAGGTCCTCAATTTGAAGACCTCCATATTTGGACTTCAATTTAAATATGGATTTTAAAGAATTAAATGCCCAGCTGGTTGGAAGGAAAATGCTGAAGAAGAGCTCCTTGCGGGAGGGGTTTTCCATTGCCACCTCCTTGGGTGTTGCCACAGCCAGGCAGGGATTTGAACCACAAAGCTTTGTGTCTCGGTCCAGCACTTTACTCACCACATTGCACTGCTGCCGTTGATTTTATATAGGTACTAATTTGACTGTCTGGGGAATGGATCCAACCCTCTGAAAGAACCCAGTGGCCTCAGCAGCCTCTTTTGCTGCTATGTAGCTGTAGCAAGTAAAGGGGGTGTGGGACAGGCAAGATTACCGGAGTCTAACGTAAGGGAGATTTATGCTGTGTGTCCACTTTAAATTAAAAGAGGCTGTAAATCGAAAGACAGTGCTCAGACATCAGTCTCACCCCTTTCTAGGACAGGCAGCTCTCCTTTCTCTAGTGGTCTTCCAACTCGATAGCTCTAAGACCCAGCTTCCCACTCCAAAATCTGTTTCTGCATGAATATAATAATCATGAGAGGCAGCCAAGTCAATTTCATATATATAATGACTGGAAGGTTTTCCAGGTAAAAAGTACAGTACTTAGTTTACATCCTTCTAGGGATGCCCTGGGATTGTGCAGCTTGCCCAAGGCTGGACCCGTGGCAGAGCATGCAACCTCTCTGCCAAAAGCTGCTTCCAATGATCTTGGTCGGTCTCTCTCCCAAGAGGCACAGTGGGGGATTCAAATTCCTAATCTAGGTGCTCCTACTGACTGCTTAGTTTCTCAGCCTCCGTGTTCAGAGACAAACATGCTAAGAAAATTTTCATTCATTCCTAGAACTAAGTCATAACCACGAGTAATTACCTATAAGAAGCAATTACTATCTATTCTCACCATGTGGAAGATATTATATTTTCCTACACACAGAACAGAATCAGAGCCAATCGAACTATGCTTATATCCGATATGCTACTCAGTCTTCTCACAGATCAGGACATCTCCTTACCATGGACACAAGAGACTGCTAGTGACAATATTTGCCTTTTCAGAGAAAATTAACATATATAGGCTTCCATCCTAGTATTATTCTGTAATTCTATATTCCCAGCTTATTGATCAGCTACTAGAGATGGGCACGAACCTCGCTCCGGAGGTTCGTCAGACTGGCACCACAGCTGCCGCGCATTCACCTCCTCCACTCCCAGTCGGATCCTCCATTTGCCAGCCAGCACACGCTGCTCTTCTCCCCCCTCTTTGGGTGTTTGACAGTCCTGGCAGGAGCGTGTGTCTCTCTCCTCTGGAAACTGTCCACTCAGATGAGGAGAAGGGGCAGGAATTCCTGCAGTGTGCTGCCTTTGAGTGGGCGGCTGCTGGAGGAGGGAAACATGTCCTCCTCCTGGCTGAACACCCACCCAAAGAGGGGGAGAACAGCAGCCTACACCAGGTGGTGAGTGGAGGAGCCAGCTGGGGCTGGGGGAAGGGATTCCCGCGGCACCTGTGGTGCTAGCCTGACATAGTGGCATGAACTTCGAAACTGTGGTTCGTGCCCATCTCTATTAGCTACCTACATGAAGAAAGATTTATTCAACCAAGCAAAGGGTTTCATTATGAAAAAGATCCCTGTTTCACAAGAAAAGAAGAAAGAATGTTGGGATGAGGATATGTTTTGGTTTTGAAACCATACATCCTAGGCAGAGAACATGCTGTGATTAATGAACATGAATGGAAGAAAAGCATGTTCACTGTAGGCAGAGAACATGGTGTGATTAATGAACATGAATGGAAGAAAAGGAGACAAATGTGTGCAAGGATCCACTACTGTCAGGTGGATCTCATCTTCTAGTATCTACACTAAGCACACAATACTTATTCATATAAAAATGTTATTATTTTCTGGTCAATTTAGTGCTGTGGAATGCAGCCACACAATGTTATGGGAGGGAACTGTTTATTTGTGAAGTTAATGGTAACTAGCCCTTTGTCAGTTTTATCCCAGTCTACCGTGGGAGTCCCTTTGTGAGAATGAGATGTAACTGAATGACTCCCACCTGAGCCATGCACTGAGGCACAGTTTCACTCCAGGTCGCTCCTGCTTACATTTAAAGGCAATGGCCTAAATCCAGTTGCAGTCCCAACTAGAGGATCAACTGCTGAATGGCGAGTCAACATGTTTGCAGGCCTCGCTGATTTGAAGGGTCTTCTCTATTTAGGGAGCAACCAATGGGACTGAGGCCATAGTCCTCACTCTTATACTTGAATTACAGCTAACGATTTAATGACTGGAATCCAATTCACAAATTAACACTGCCATAACTCCATCAGTGTAGAATTCAGTTGCAAATTGTTTCCACTTAACAGTCAGCATAGAAATGTGCTCTCATGTTCCTAGTCATGCAACTGATGAACGGCAGCAAATGCCCACACCAGCTTCTGAACTTGCTGTAAATCAGAACTGAGATTTATGAAAATGGAGTTACACAAGGAGGTGTAACTATTCAGATTCTGGCCAATGTTTTTTCTAAAGGGGCAAAGAGCAGTACAGCTATTCTCTAATGTTCTGTTACAGTAAATGCTATTTGAAACCAGCCAATGATTTTTATTCTTCCTATCAACAATCTCTGCCACACCTTACTGCTTTTTCATTAGAAATAAACTAGTTTCAAAATTAGGTTGAATGAAATGAATATGAAGCAATGGAGGTGGGCAGGCTAAATAGCAGTCAATTGCACTTCACGCTGATTCCAGAAGAAAGAAACCTATTTTTATTACATGTGAAATCTAAGCAGACACCTAGGTGAAAGAGTGAAAATAAATAAAAACAAAGTGAACTCTGTGACTTGCTACTCACATATAATTATATAATTTTCAGTAATAGCACGTTCCTTCAGATCATTGTTACAGCCATGGCATTGTGTATGGGCCTATAGCAGTGGTGGCAAAATTTTGGGGGTTCTTGTGCCCAAACTGGGGGAAAAAATACAGGAGGTGGTGTGGTGCGGTGGCGGCAGCACCGGAAGTGGCAGCAGAAGGGGGAATCCCAGGCACGGAGAGCCTCAAGACCCCACTTTGGATCCACCGCCAGCACCAACTGCTCTGGATCCTGACATGCCGGCTGTCCGGGCACCAGCACCGCGGTTACAGCCGCCTGCTCAGGATTGGCCGCGGGGGGGGGGGGGGGGGGGGGAGTAGCGATCTGGCGACTTATGGCTCAAGTGCCGGCAGAAAGGGCTCAGTGTGCCAGCTGCAGCATGTGTGCCATAGGTTCACTGTCGCTGGTCTATAGAATGGCAACATACTAATAGAACAATGCTTCCTCAGGTTCTACAGTGGTGCGTCGACTTACGAACGCTCCTACTTATAACCATTTCGAGTTACGACCAGCTCCGGCCGCAAAATTTTGCTTCTACTTGTGTCCGGAGCTTCCACTTACAAACAGAAAAAGGCAATATTTTTGCATACCTTTGAATATTTATATATTTTGATGTTTTATTTGTGGATGGTCTTTGACCGTAATAAAGTTTTATCATATCATTACCAGAAAAAGGCGGGGGGAAAAGGCGGGAAATTCAAATTTCTAACTGTAGGTGGCAATGAGGCTGCTTCTTTGTAGCTCTTTCGCCCCAGCAGTTAGAGAGTGTGCGTTGTTGTTGGAGGCTTCTGATGGCCTCCTTCTGCTTCTGAGAGAGTGTGTGTGTGTTTGCAGGGAGGCTTTGGGCTGCCTTGTAAGGTAAGGTGCTGTTTCCTGCTTTGCTTTTACAGCATGGTTTTGGGCTGGGGGGGTTATGTTTCTGTGGTGTGATGGGTCTTGGGGGGTTGTTTGGTTTTTGGGTTCCCCCCATTTCCAATGGGTTTTTGTTTTTGTTTTTTTTTTGCTTTTTAGTTCCCCCCATTTCCGATCTTGCACAATCTGCTTGATTGCTTTTTGCTTTGTCCTGTTTGCATTTGCAATGGGTCTTGCACAGTTGATTGGTTCCCCCCCCCTTCAGCTGGAAGAGATTAATCACGTTTCCAACCAGTCTTGCAGTGATTTTTTTGATGATTTTTTTCTTTGGTCACAACGGATTAATTGTATTTCAATGCATTCCAATGGGAAATGGTGCTTCGACTTAAGACCATTTTGAGTTACGACCATCTTCCTGAACCAATTAAATTTGTAAGTCGAGGCACCACTGTATATCCCAAGCTCTCTACTTCAGTGATTCCCAGCCTTGGGTAACTGAGGTGTTCTTGCCTTTACGCCTTGGGTAACTGAGGTGTTCTTGGACTGCAGCTCCCAGAAATCCCATCCAGCAAAGCTAATGGTGAAGGCTTCAGGGAGTTGCAGTCAAAGAACACCTGGATTACTCAACGTTGGGAACCACTGTTCTGCTTCATCTCAGATATACAGTACTGATGACATCTTTATCACATGGACTCATGGAATAACTTGAGAAAATCTACCAAAACTTCAACAATTTTCACTCTGTCATCAACGTGAGTCTATACCAATCTACATAACAGCTCTGCTTTCTAGACACCATTACACAATGGCACAATGGACATAAAAGCATCATATGATACACACCCTTACATATCTCTAGTTTCCATCCAGAACATATCACAAAATCTATTGTCTACAGCCAAGCTCTCCAGAGCATATCACAAAATCTACTGTCTACAGCCAAGCTCTCTGATGCAGCCACATCTGCTCAGATCCACAAGAGACTCAAAACTTACAGATTTACAGCAGGCATTGCTTAAACTACAATATCAATTCACCAAGGTAAAAAGCCAAACTGATGGGGCACGTCTAGTAGTCACAACCAACCTACTACAAGACATCACATGGAAAGCAGGTGATACTCCCCCTCCCCACTACAGATTCCAATACATCCCCAAAATCTGCTTCAAAAAATCTGAAGATCCCATGGAGCACATTTTCCAGATGGGAAAGGAGGGGGGGGGTGAGAGAAAATTCAAGTGTATCAGTAGAGAGCCTACTACTTTCTACCATGATGCATCAACAGAAAAAGCAGATTCAAACTGAACTCTAGATACAGTAGTACTTAACAGTACTTTTAAATGATTCACTATGTCTAAGAGGTCATTTTTTGCTCAGCCCACCAAATAAATGCCTTTGAGGTCCCACAAAATAGCTTTTTGCAAGCTGTAGACAACTGTTTTGAGGGACTTAAATCAAAGTACTAACAAATTTCTATGATGCAGTTCCCTGGACAGGATGGCATTCCAATTTTTATTTTAGTTTTTATTTTAGACTTCCTGGATTTTAGTACAGTATTTGGACACTACTGTCAGTGGAACTACCTTTAATGGAAACTAAACCTGAGTTGTAAAGTACAGAGAGGGAAAGCAGCAAGGATATTTTTAACAAGAATTTAAGGCTTGAACTGAACTTTATCAAAGCAGGGAACTGAATTTTCTCAAAATGGGATTGGGAATCCTGTGTTTTAAATGAACTCCACTACAAGTGCATTTGGATCCAAGACTGGGTGGTGGCACTTTGGAAGCATCCCTTACAGAGAAGAGGAGAAGTGAAACAAGCAGATGGCTAATTACTACTAAGAATTGCTAAAATATAGATTTAATACATAGGAGGAGAGTAAGAGGCAAATGCAAAAACAAAGTCTATAGAAACCTAAAAACTGTAATTATCACTAAATTGCTCAAATGAGTCTTTTCTTGTTATTTTAAAATGAATTTTGCCTTTTACACTTATTTAGATTATTGTAGCATAATATTGTTATTTTATGTCTTGAATGAAGCTTCTTTGCATCTTTCTCAGTGTGAACAATCTCCCCTGCAGAACTGGTAAGGCCAAAGGAAATGGCAGTGCATGTCATTCCATGTACAAAAGCAGAACTGGTAAGGCCAAAGGAGGGGGGGGGGAATGGCAGTGCATGTCATTCCATGTACAAATCAGATCAGGCATTCAGCTGAATTTTCAAGCGGTGATGAGAGAAGAACTCATTCATCCTGCCTCCAGCCAGCATGCTAGTACACAGGGCTCAAGGCAGCTCATATCACACCCATGTCCTTTAAGGTCCTTGAAATACCTCGCCACCATTCTCTGCCTCATAACCTGAGATGCCTGCTTCACTTCACCCAACAGGAGGCCACTCCTGACCCTGGTCTGCCTAGTGCTGGATAAATTTTTAGTTTATTCTCCTTAGAAGTCAATCATTATTACTACTTTTATCTGACAGAGTACTCTTGGCGACTAAATTTGGCCCTGAAAAAGGAACCTAGAAAATATGGGTTCATTCACTCAGCCACATCCAGGTTATGAAATGACCTTAATTAGCTTGGACCTAGAAGATGGGAGGAGAATGCTACTCCACATCAGGCGTTGCATTCAGTTGTCTACTGTGCAACTGCTCTGCCATATTCAGGACAATTTATTGTGGGAGACGACATTATCTTCTGTGATGTTGTAACCCACCCATGTCCTCTCATCTCCTCTCTTTTCTTTCCCTCTATATAAAATCAATTAAGGAGAAAGAAACAAAACAACTGCACAATGTCTTTTATGTAACAGCACTTGAAGCCACCCATCTGATAGCATCCAGGCAAGGAAGGTATTATACTGATAAAAGTACTGTAAGACTTCAGTGCAAGCAGAGCAACAATTCTAAGGCAAGGTATGACCAAGGCAAGAGAAAAGCACATATTAGTAATTCTAGCTGTGTGGTAGGTTAGAAACCCAGTCTTAGAAACATACGCCCTTGTATTGCCACTGCATGTCCCTTAAAGGATTTCTCCACCGATAGGCAATACAACTGCAACAGGAATCACACTCTGCCTCCAGCTTTCATGACATTCTACTCACAGATATATGGCAGCTCTATAGCAACTGCACCCACCTACCTTCATCATTAGCAGACAGTTTGCCATGGAGTACATCACCCGGCCCAGACGTGACCTCCACAGCTGAATGGAGGCTGTAAAATGAGAGCAGCTTGTGAATGTGCACAAATAAATTAGAAGCTCTTTCCCTAGCCATCAATTATCGGTCATATGCATTCCTATTTAAATGATTTCCCCTCGTTAACATCACTGCATTTTGAGCAGTGTTCCTAACATTCTGCTACGTTAAACCGAAAATCTTGCACACAGTCACTAGCAAGAGAGGCTTGATGGGCAAAAGGAACAGACTGCCGGAATAAATGAAGCAATAAGACAAAGCTGGGAAATGACCTCTTAGCTTTTAGCTCTGGCGACAGTATGAGGAAGCATCCATTTTTCAACAGTAGAACAAAAGGCAGAGGAGGAGAGGAAGGGAGGGTGGGAAGCAGGGAGGGAGGGAGGGAGGGAGAAAAGCGCACATTGAGTAATTATGACCATTGATGTGCAATCTTGTAATTTAAGTGATTAAATTTAAACCAGTCAACCCCATCAAACTGACCAGTGAAGTTAAAGAGCTCATTTTGCAACCAGAGCATGAAGGTTGAAGGGCAGTCTCAGTCTGGGGTCCTGCACTCTTGCCTCCGGCTTATGAGAGACAGTAGAAAAACCTGCCAAGCTTGTCTGCCACCCCCACGCAGTTGGAGCTCATGGGGTTTAAAGGCTGATGCACACAGCCGCGGCTGATCTTTCACTCCCTTCGTTGCAGACAGGTTCCTGATGCGAGAGAATGAATGGCTCCTACGGATCCTTCACTGCTTAAAGGGATCAGCCAACTAACAGAGTGTATTCAGTTGCCAAACTAAGGCTGGGCTAAAGCTGGCTGGAATTTGTATGGACGTATCTATCTCGCTTGCAATCCTAAGAACATTTATGAGGAAGTTCAGTCCCATTGTATTCAGTGAGAACAGCTTCTGAATCACAGCAGTACATAATTTTTAACTGTTTTCACTTTGGTAGTGATGTGCCAAAGCTTCATGTCACCACCTTCCAGTCATCTTGCAAGAACAGCAGCGACCGTAAAAGACAAGTGTCACGAAACTATGAGAACTGTGGTGAAACGGGTAATGCTCCTCTCACCTCACAACACTTTTCTTTTTACTACTACAAATATTTGCTTTATTCTACGTTTAAAAATGGTAATACCTTTTCAGTGGAGATTTATACATTGCTTCAAATCTAGGACATCAAAGTTACATCAGAATACAGCATTATTAAAAGTATGTTTCTTCCGGTATGCATATACTGTTAACCAACAACAAAAAAATACAAATAAAAGTCTAAGTAGTAGTAGATTCTTTTTCCTGGTATAAAGGACATCAACAAAGCAAAAGCACAAACTGCAGCCCATGTCAGTGTTAAACCTATGGCCGTTCCTCTACAAAAGTGATAGAACCGACGGCACTCTACTGAGTATTTTTTAAAAAGCTGATTGACATCCAGCGGGTAAAGCAATTTTGAGTATCAACTTCACTTCAGCAAACCTGTAAGACTGATTACAGTTCAAGAAGCCACCCCATCCTTACAATAAGAATAAATAAAGCAAAGGCAAACATGTTTATTTCTAGTTGTAACCACTGCCACATTTCACAACAAGTGTTATCTGGAGTTCTTAATCTAAACTGCATTCTTGTTTTGAGGTTGGTGGGGTTTTGGGGGTGGTGGTGGTGGGATGCCCTTATAGTAAGTTGCCATTTTTCGTTTCACTGCGAATTCTGTGTTGCAAAGCAGCTGCAGGACTTGATGGCTTGCAAAGGGGGGAGAAGGGGGAGAAGGCACTGCCAGGAAATTGGTGCAATGCTAAATCTCTTTCCTCCCACTGAACGAATGGAGACCGAGGTGCCCTACCTTCCGTTTTGATGGGAGGCAGTGCAACAAGCTGTTTCGTGCAACACCTACTCAGATCAGCAGCAGAGAAATTATGCTGCGGATCTAATCCCATAAAGAAGCTGGGGTTGCTTCTAGTCACAGTTCGCAAGGCAATAAAATAAAACAAAAACAACACAACAGAGAAAGCTTCCCGCAGCTCCAAGGTGTATCAGAGCCCCTTGCAGGGAGCAGCTCTGATTGACCTCCTCAGAAAGAGATGCCAGCAGTCCCTGCCAGTGTTCTGAGGCAGACCGGCAGCTGTAACCATTCTGCACTCCGAGCACATAACAGCCTCTCACAGATGCTCAACCGCCTCCCCATCCCCTTCATATTTTGCTGGATGCCTCTTGTTCGCAGTCTCTGCCAAGCTAAGTTTAGCTCTGAAAAACAGCTGCAGTGAGGAAGGGAGAGCAAGCAGGCAGACAGAAAATTTGTGCTGCAGGGTGAGAAGAGGCAAGAAGAACCACGGAGAGCAACTAAAAAATAATAATAATAATCTTAAACAGTAGCCATCTGGAAACATTCAGAACTTCTTTAGCACTGGCTTGGCCACAGATACAGATGATGAAAATCTATCTGAAAAGAGAAGTCATTAGTTCTCGCCCTGTCCAAGTAATCATGGAGGGCTTGCAGCTACGCTTTTTATGTGGAGATTTTGAAATGTATTTATTTGGCAGTCTAACACTCTGAAGGAGAACATGCCTTGTCCACCAAAGCAAAGCACCTGCTGTATTTGGCTGGCTGCTCCTATTTCATTCGGGTTTCCAGATGACTTAGCTCCTCAACCTCTGACATGGTACCCCTGCCCTCAGTAACCCCAGAAGGGGAATCAGTCAAGAAATGCAATATTCAGGTTCACTCCCTCCAGGCCTCTTTATATGTTCTATGAGTTGAACACGCTCACAGGAGAGAAAACAATTTTTATATTACGGCCTTTTAATACTGCTAACAGCACTGCTACTCTGCAATCTGTTGGAACTGGAAATAAAATTTAAAATGTGGTTGCATGTAATGTCTGTTACACAGTTTGTTTGCCATAACAATTCCACTAGACCTACTTCCATTTACAACTCACTTCCTCCTGTACCAAGCTATCGCTAGTTACCGCATGTAGCGTCAAGCTGGAACTGAGTTACAGTGACCCTAACAGGGCTTTCAAGGTAAGAGATATTTAAGGAATCATTTTACTAGTTCCACTCCCCCAGTGAATTTCCATGGCCAAGTGGGGATTCAAACTCTTATTTCCAAAGTGCTAGTCCCTCACTCTATCCACTACACCAAACCAGGTAGTTGAGCAAGCTATGCTTGATGCTAATACAGGACCATCAGAATTCAATTACTGTATATATTTGCTCATGACCTTCAAAGGCATATTCTATTAGAGCTACTGTCTTGGTGTTAAAATAAGGCTACCCTTAGTCTTCTAAAGGGGCACTGCATCTTCATGCTCCCCAATCTTTCCTGTCTCCATAGCTCTGGAATCCAAATACAGTGGTGCCTCGCATTACGTTAATTAGTTCCAGCGAAATCGCTGTAGAACGAAAACGTAATGCGAAAATAAAAAGCCCATTGAAACACATTGAAACCCATTCAATGCGTTCCAATGGGCTGGAAACTGACCATCCAGCGAAGATCCTACATAGGGCGGCCATTTTCGGTGGCTGTCTTGCAAGGAATCCGTCCCAGAAAACAGCAGGGAGCCATTTTGTTTACCAGGCAGCCATTTTGAAACCGCTGCTCAGCTGGAGGAAAATCGGCGTTTTGCGAAGAATCAGTTCCCGAAGCAGGGAACCAATCATCGCAAAGCAAAAAAAACCCCATTCAGATAATCGGTTTGCGATCGCAATAAGATCGTCGTAATGCGGTTTGCAAGGAATCCGTCCCAGAAAACAGCAGGGAGCCATTTTGTTTACCAGGCAGCCATTTTGAAACCGCTGCTCAGCTGGAGGAAAATCGGCGTTTTGCGAAGAATCAGTTCCCGAAGCAGGGAACCAATCATCGCAAAGCAAAAAAAACCCCATTCAGATAATCGGTTTGCGATCGCAATAAGATCGTCGTAATGCGGTTTTGTCGTAATTAATCGGTTTGCAATCGCAATAAGATTGTCGTAATGCGGTTTTGTCGTAATGCGGGGCAATCATGAAGCGAGGCACCACTGTATATCTATGCCTGCCTTAAACAACTCAAGCCAGTACCCCTATTGACCAAACATGAAACAGACAGTCATTTAGCACTGTTTAGTCCTTATCTAGAATAATGTGTCCAATTCTGGACTCCACACATGAAGGAGGACGCAGACAAATTGGAATTTCAAAGGAGGCCAACAAGGATGATCAGAGAACTGCAAAACAAGCCCTATGAGGAAAAACTGGGCATGTTTAGCTTTGAGAAAAGATTGGGGGAAGATATGATAGTACTTTTCAAACACAGTGAACCCTCTACTTACGGAATTAATCCGTATTGGAACAGTGGCTGCAGGTCGAAAAGTCTGTAGGTCGAGTCTCCATTTGCCTACAATGCACCGAAAACCGATTAATCTGTAACTGGCTGTTTTTGTTCCATTTTGTTTTGTTTTTTCGGGTCTGTAGGTCGATTCTCCGGCTGCAAGTCGAACCTAAATTTTGCAGCCAGAGAAGTCTGTAACTCGAAACATCTGTAAGTCGAGGGTCCACTGTACAGTGGTGCCTCGCATAACGAGCGCACCATACAACGACGAATTCACATAGCAATCCCTTTTTTGGAATCGCTAATGCGAAGGCATACCGGCAGCCCCAATGGGCAAAACTGGCATTGCGAAGATTGGTAAGCGTTTCGCTTACTGATCTTCGCATTGCGATGTCGGGAAATCAGCTGATCGGCAGCTCCAAAATGGCTGCCGCACGACCCCAAATGGCCATGCGCAGCGTTTTCGCACCCTGCCCTTGCTTACCGAGGGCGCGAAAATGGCTGCCGGATGGGGGAAACTTCGCAAAACGGTGAGGACAGAAGCCATTGGAACGCATTAAACTAAGTTTAATGCATTCCAATGGCATTTTCCGTTCCGTTTAGCGATGTTTCCCCATAGCGACGGTTAATCCGGAACGGATTAACCTCGCTATGCGGGGCACCACTGTACTTGAAAGGTAGTTTGTATGGAGGAGGGGAGATTTCCATTCAGAGGAGTGACAGGATCTGTTCCAAGCAGAGATGGTCACAAAACAGGAAAATTGTCCATGGTTCATCACTATTCACAAACCACCAACCACAAACTTTCACAAACTTTCCAGTAAAATTAACTGTTTTGTGATTTGTGTGATTTGGGACTTCTAGGAGAAATAGAAATAAAGCATAGGAATTGCCAATGCCCAAAATTGTTCAGTGTTTTGTTTTACTCTGGACAGTTATGTTTTCCTAAAGCACCCCCAAATGAACCACAAAATGGCCTGATTTTTGCGGGGTGCGCAGGTTCCTTTCTGATTTGTTCTATGCCCATCTCTAGGTCTATGTCATTCCACAGCACAGGACACATAATAAGGGGCTCAAGTTACAGGAAGCCAGATTTCAGTCGAATATTAGGAAAATCTTCCTAACTATTAGAGCAGTTCAACAATGGAACCAATTCCCCTGGGAAGTCGTGAGCTCTCCAACATTCGAGGCATTCAAGAGAAGCCATTTGGCAGATATTCTTTGATTTGTATTCCTGCACTGATCAAGGGGTTAGTCTCGAAGGCTGTACAGATTCCTTCCAACTCCATTATTCTATGATTCTATGAATCCCCAGCTTCTACAAGCAAGGACTGGGTGATTTAAGGGATCTAGGGCTTGGGACTGTGAAGAGGCAGAGAAAAAGAAGGAAAGTATGCAGGTAGCTGTCAGCGGTACTACAGTTCAAGGATAGGGAGAGCTAAGGCAGCCGGCTCCAGGTTGAAGCAAAGACCAGGATAAGGTGGCATCCATTCTCCTCTTAACCACAACTCTTTGCTCTCTCCCTATGCCACTGCTATTCTGGGGTGTAGTTTGTAAGGATATGTGTAGCTTTTTCAGGAAAACAATGCTTAAGGAGAGAATGGACAAGTACTCCTTATAGGAGAGATGGGAGAAAGAATGAAGGCAACTGGGGCTTGATTTATTTGCTTCCCCCGAGGGAATCCTTTTGAATAAAGGGAGACACTTGTGGCAGGGCTGCATTTGCACAAGCATTTCCAGGGGAGGGTGCTAAAGGACAGCCTGGACCTAGTCACCTCTACGACAGCTTGGAAGGATTCAGAGGGCTGACACACACCTTGCTAAAAGCACCATGTAACACATTTGTCAGAAATGCTGATTCTTTTTAAAAGTCTCCAAAACTACCCTGTTTTCCCAAAAATAAGACCTAAGCTGAAAATAAGCCCTAGTATGATTTTCCAGGATGCTCGAAATATAAGCCCTACCCCCAAAATAAGCCCTACTTAAGTGAAACCCTGCCCTCCACCCTTGTGCAGCAACCAGAAGAAAATGACAAGACTGTATATGAATAAATTTAAATGGCTGTACATGAACTAAAATAAAACATCCCCTGAAAATAAGCCCTAATGCGTTTTTTCGAGCAAAAATTAATATAAGACCCTGTCTTATTTTCAGGAAACACGGTAAAATCACACCATCTTCTGTGGAAGAGAGTGGAATAGTATTTAAAACAACTGAAAAAGTGGATGTCCAAACAAATGGAAGTTCAGTTTAGCAGAGTTATTTTGGTGTAGGAGTGTGTACGAGGGACACAAAATGCCTTTAATAATACAACACAATAATATAATGATAAACTTAGAACTGCAGAGCTAGAAGGGAGCCTACGGATCATCGAGTCCAGCCCTCTGTCAAGGAGGCCCAGTGGGGAATCGAACTCCCAGCCTCTGACCTACACTACTGAGATATCCAGCACTTAAAACAGCTAAAATGCTATCTGTGGGAGTTCAAAAGGATCTGCTATACTGTTATGACCTTAGTCACGTTCCTTTCACTCTTGAGAAGTAAAACCGGTAAAGCAAAAGCACTGCAAACTAGGCACTCAGAAAAGGGTAAGCAAAGGATAAGCCATTCTTTAAACAAAAGATCTGACAGACCCAGATACCTCAGAGGGTGAGCCTGGGTCTAAACAAGGAGGCTCAAGTGTCAGGGGGAAAGACTTATGGAGAGAATGAGCTGGATTTTAAGACTGAATGCTCTTTTGGTGTCTCTTCAATGTCTTAGCGTCACACGGCTATAATCATAAATCTGTCATTCTAAAATGACAGCCATTTTCTTTAAAAAAAAAGACAAAGAAGCGATCCGATTCAATGCATCACTGTGATCAAAATGAAAGGCAAATCTGTGAAATGAATTCTAGCAATCAAAGGACAAGGTGCATCATTTTAAAGACTGAACAGGCTGTATAAATGACAATACCACTGTTTTAACAGCTTCAGAGCAGTCTTGTGAGAACTTCTGTTAGTACCTGGGTAAGTAATAAAAATAACACTGCAGAAAGAAAAGCTTCAGGGGATACCTACCTTGTTTGTTCTCCTGGGTAATGTTAGTCATGCTTCCATCTTCTGCCAAGCCATGTTCCAGGTTGTTTAATATCTACAATGAATTTAAAAAAAAACTTTTGTCAGTTCTGACACTATTTTGAAGATAGGGAAATTTTGTACATTAAACCAGAAACAGTTGTAATTATTCCTTGCTGTACACACAGAGACTGAAACAGAAGCCATTGTGTGAGGGTACAATTCAAAATCCCTGATCTACTAGCACGAGTAGGATCAGTCCGACGGAAAGATCATTCAAGAATATTTTGGAAAGCAAGTTGATGAAACTATTTCAAGATACATCCTGACTATTAAAATGCAGAACACCTCTGCAACTTACACACATAGGTCGTGATTATTTCCGTAAGATTCCCCCCCCAATATGTTTTTCAAATACATTTTCAATTCCATATGGCACCAGATACATTCCCATTTTCCAGAGGCAGTAATTGGACAGGAGGTATTGATTACATATATCATAAAGGTCCACCGCACAGATGCAAAACCTTCAGGGTCTGTGTCCCCTTATCAAATATGCAGATAATACCTAAGTTTCTTGAGAGCCTTTTGTAATTAAGCTTCCTTGGTGACAACAGAGGCGTCTTTCCAACTCTGTGCAATGAGAAGACATGCTGTCACCAATAAGTAAATGATTAATGGTTTTGAAAATGTGTTTAAATTGTTCCCTCTAAATATAGATAGCAAGCATAATGCTAGGTCCATATAGAGCCTGAAATAATGCCAATCTCTGAAGCAAACTATAGGACTAAAAAGAAGCTGAAACAGGGCATGACTATCAAAGATGCCAATATGTCCTTATATTTCCACAGCTCTATCAACAGAGTTTTTGACCTGTCTTTTGAATATATGCCAATTTTATAGGATTATAAAACCACCTATGAGGAGGTTTCAAGGAGTTCTCTGATATTTGCAGATATAGAAGAAAAAAGGGGTTGTAGATCAAATTCTGCGCCACATGGCTTCATCAATTTCTTCTCCTAGGTTGTTTTCCCAAGCAAGTTTCAAGGCAGGTCTGGCACTTTCTTAACCAACTTAGTTTAGTGTGTTTTATTCTGTCAATCTGTGAGAGGAGTTCCCTTGTTCATATAAATCTTTTAATGAAACCAAACCTTTGAACAAAATTGCAGAAAGGCCCCTACTTATTGTTAGATTTACATTTTGGATAGTATGGTAAAGGTATGTCTGCAGAAATGGATGCCACTAATTTCAGAAACCATATGCATAAAATCAAATACAGTGGTGCCTCGCTTTATGGTTGCCCTGAATTATGACGAAATTGCATTACGACAATCTTTTAGTGATAGCAATTGCGATCGCAAAACAATGGTCAGTGATCGCAATTGCGATCTCAAAACAATGGTCTGAATGGGGTTTTTTTCCCTTTGCGATGATCGGTTCCCTGCTTCGGGAACCGATTCTTTGCAAAATGACGATTTTCCTCCAGCTGATCAGTGGTTTCAAAATGGCTGCTGGGTAAATAAAATGGCTCCCCGCTGTTTTCTGGGATGGATTCCTCGCAAGACAGTCACCGAAAATGGCCTCCCTATGGAGGATCTTCGCTGGACGGTGAGTTTCCAGCCCATTGGAATGCATTGAAGGGGTTTCAATGCGTTTCAATGGGCTTTTTATTTTCGCATTACGACGTTTTCATTCTACAGTGATTTCGCTGGAACAAATTAACGTTGTAATGCGAGGCACCACTGTAGGGTGAATTTGGTGAAGGGACTCTCTGTCCAGTTCCATGACCTCTTAATAGAGGGCAGGAATAGGAGAACATAGCAAGTTAACTGATGAAGGAGGAATCTGAGATGTCTGAGGATAGCAGAGTAGAAGAGCCAAAGGCAAAAGGCAGGGACACTCCAGGAAAAGATAGGCTGTGGCTCTGGAGACCTCCAAAAGTAAGGCCAAACTGCATGCACGGTATGCAAATTAAAATGTGAAGTCAGGATTGGAAAATCTATCAGTTACTTTATCTTCCTTACATTCAGGTTTTTTAAACCTCCAGTTCTTTCCAATCTAATCATAAAGCAATCTGTAATTTTTTGGCAAATTCTTTTAGTAACAATCTGAAATAAAAGGGGACATATGTTATGGTCTCTCAGCTCTACGCAAAACTAACAGTATCAAAGAACATGAGATAAGGATTTAAGAGGCTCAACCATACAGGGTAAAATTTTTGTTGGCAGAGAATTCCCAAGAATCTGTCCTGGAGTATCGCTGAGGCCAAGCTATTGAACCTAAAAAGCGTAAATGCTCTGTGGTTTTGAGGTGTTCTGAGAATTGTTAGACAGGCCACAGATGCCCTGTGTCATGTCAACACATCATTTGCAATAAAGGAACAGGTTTTATTTGCTAGAGAATGCAGATCTTGCTTTTTTTTAGTACTACCCAGTCTTTGAGGCAGCACTCTAAGACTTTCAACGAGAGTACCAAATGATCTAATTCTAGATCTGTCTGGAGCAAAAATCTACACCATCTATACCAACCAAATTTAATGTATAATTATTTCCACCATGGAAAGGGTCATGTAGTACCTCATTCATGTTAGAAGCCTCCCATAAATGTTACAGAAGCCACAGCCCACCACTACCATGTCTGAATACACATGGACCTCAAATACAGACTTTTTGGGGAGTTAAAATACTAAAAGCCTATCTCTTGATGAATAATTTGTCAGTTTTAGTTTTTAATAAATTAGTAACTCATTCATGTTAGAAGCCTCCCATAAATGTTACAGAAGCCACAGCCTACCACTACCATGTCTGAATACACATGGACCTCAAATACAGACTTTTTGGGGAGTTAAAATACTAAAAGCCTATCTCTTGATGAATAATTTGTCAGTTTTAGTTTTTAATAAATCAAAAATGTTAATATCTCAAGTTTTTTATTCAGACTATGAAGAAATTTGGCTATTTTGACCAACTTCTCAAAAACAAGCAGAAATCAGATTCTTATCTATTCCTATTATGAATTCAGCAAAGGGACTGGACAACGGTTCAGAACTACAGGAGAAGTTAATGATTTTGGCAACAAAAACCATGGTATCAGAGCGAAGTATCAACAACAAAAGGCTTATAAAGTGCCAAAACATGGTGCTGTGATCCATAAATTACATCCAATGACATTTTGGATATTCTCTCAACATTGTCCAAAAAGTTTCATCTGCTTCAAAAAATTGGGGTTAGTCATCCCTCTGTCTAGAGAAAAAATGTTCAGTTTTCAAAGAAAAAAAAGAACAGAATAAAAAGATAAAAATAGCAATGTTCTACCTCCTGTAAAGCAAAGACAAACCTTTGGGGCACTGGAGTGCTGTTTCTTGGCCTGTTTTGTGACTTTTGATAGTGACTTGGATTCCTCCATTTGAGACACACACCACTATCATCACCACCATCACAGCTGGTATTAGTACTAGTATTATTAAAGCCTCTGTCTGTTTACAAGTAGGAAGATGGTATTTCTACATTTGCTAGGAAAAGAAATGGGCAATGAAGTGCAAACATACGGTTCTGTCAAAAGGAGTAACCACGCCCATTTGCACAATGTAGCCGCCATGTTCTCAGAAAAGAACTGGCCTCTGGACCAAAGCTAGTGAGTGGTGCTGCTAAGTACCTCAGCTGTGTCAAGTACAGTGGTGCCTCGCATAGTGACGTTAATCCGTGCAGCAAAAATAGCTGCTAAGCGATTTCGTCGCTATGCAATTAAAGAAAGCCCATTTAAAGAAACCTGTTTAATGCATTCCTATGGGCTTAAAACTCACCTTAAAGCGAAGATCCTCCATACGGCAGCAATTTTCGCTGCCTCTTATGCGAGGAATCGGCACGAAAACACAGCAGGCGGCCATTTTTTAAACCTGGCAGCCATTTTGGACTCGCTGATCAACTGTTTAAAAATCATCTCTTTGCGATGATCGGTAAACGAAACAGGGAACCGATCATCGCAAAGTGATAAAACCGCATAGGAAACATCGCAAAAAGTTAATCACTATGCGGTTTCATCGCTAAATGGAGCGCTCGTTAAGCGAAGCACCACTGTATCAGACAACAGTTAAGTCATCTGACCCCTGGAAAAGTTAACAAGTACGGGAGAAGGCATTTCATCAAGAGACACGTGCAGCCTTGAGGAACTAAATCACCTCTTTAAACCTAACTTTGCCTTATATAACAGCAATGCCAGTATCAAATGGAGGCCAAGGACAGAGATGCCAGTCAGGCTTCTGTACTGAGAACGGCAATGACACGATGATAGCCAATGCAATGAGCCGGAGCACGGAGAGGTGTAGGCCAATGGAGAAATATCACATTGTATCTTCCAACTACACTTGTCATTGCTACACAGAAAAACGAAATGCCCCTCAGTCCCTGACAGGCTTTAGATGGCCAGAAGGTGCTATGAATCCCTAGACTGAAAGCTGGATTAGGAACATAGTTGATACGGAGTGCATATGCGGCATTTCTACAAGAAGAGAAATAAAAGAGATGAACATTCAGATCCTTGGAGAAGGTAATATTTAGCAGGCAGAAGAAATACAAAGACAAATGAAAACCAAGAATACATAAAACAGATAAAATGCAGAAAACCGGAATAATTTGGTCACGAGAGAAATGAACAGCACAGATTGTCACCGCTGATCATTAAAAACACACAGGAAGTGTAGGAAGGAGAATACCTCCTTGGCTAAAGAACCTTGAGGAATTATTTGGATTCAGCATGGCTCTGTTTAGAGTGGCAGCATTCGAAGTCAATAAAACCATGATGAAGTCCAGCTACCAGTAGGAAAGGAAGAAGGGAAAATGACGTGAGCTCATGACAACACATCTTTCTATTAGAAGTGGGAGGGCTGTTCCTGCCCACCTGCTCCAACCCATGCTGCACTGTGAGCACACTTGCCTGTCAAGAGTGAGAGGGCCAGTCCCCTGGCAAGACTTTTGGCACAAAGTCTTGCCTCAACATACTGTAGTACAAACCATAGGAAGGTCTGCAGATGGACAATACTCATTAGATTCCACTCAAAGAGGAGGGGTGGGAATCAGC